CTCTGTTAACAAAGAATATGGCAATCGTAAGTCTGCGTCTGGTGATGTCCAACATCGCGACGAAGATTTGTACCCGAAATATGCATCTCTGAACGTTTCATAAGTTTATTTTGTACATTGAATTATAATGTTTGAGTCTTTTAAGAGAACACTATGATAGTTTATTTTATCATAGTTTGCAGACATTTAACTCCCAGATATAAATGTCGGCCAACTTGGGTTTTTTTTCCTGACCCCTGCCAGTGGCAGTGTAAGTGACACAGGAAGTTGTATGGTTTTATGATGTAGTTTTAATCTGAATATATATTTTTTTCAGTGTTCATACTAAATCTTGGAAATGCTGTATAAATCAAAAAAATTGGTTATGAATAAAAAACACATTACAAAAAACCCCAATCGATGGAATCGCCTTCGAATAAATATGTAATTATAATTGCCGCAATGTTGGCAGAATGCTAATTCCCTTTGTTTTTAATGTTTACCAAGACACGCATCCCAAAAGAATTGAGAGAGTTTCCTAACCGTTCTTCTAGTAACAGTGTTGAAACCTAGAACAAATTTATCACAGTAAGTCGTTCAAAAAATGATGTGATGAGTCACATACATGCAAGTCATTCATATTTAAAGTTTCCATGGAAAAAGAAAAATGTATTTTCAAGAAAACATAGGATTGCATGTAAATACATTATTCTAGGGATAGAGGTTTGGGGTAGTACCTATTCAACGCATTGAAATTGTTTATTGGGTGCCCACAAGTATATAGTCTGTACAATGTTGTTTAAGCCACACAAAGAAAATTCAGCTAATCTTTTTTCACAAATACATATTCTTGATATATTTGAACTTTATAAACTCTTAGTCGCTACATTCATTCATAATCTCACTTATCAAGATTCACCCCATTCATTGTGTGATAACTTTAAACCACTTGAACATCATCCTGACACCAGATAGCAACGTCAGCAACATTTCTATCTTGACAGAGCTAATGCACACTCGGGACAGTTTGCTACCGGTACTTACTTTACAGGAGCAAAAATCTGGAACAGTATACGATTAATACCAAATGTATCAAAATTTAGAAAACATTTATTGCATGAAAATAATTGAAATTATTTAGCCATTATTTATTTAATTATTTATTTTATTCCTTCATTCCTTCATTCATTTATTCACTTACTACCTAAAATACTCCAAGTCCCTCATAAACCAAACATACTTAGTTTGGTTTACAAAGGCTGGGCTCAGACTAGACTAGCTAAAGCTATTTTCTTAAGTCCCTTTCATCCATTTTCTGTGACATAGAATTTTATCATATCAATAGGGATTTCAGGGGAAAATTATACACATACCATAGAGTAGTTTGGTGGCATTGGACAGATCTCTACTAGAGCAATACAATGCACTTTATTTGATGAAAATTAGGGTAACCGTTCTCGAGATAAGGTACTTTGTAGCTTCAATTAGCATCTCTTAATTTTGGACAAAGGATGACACAACAAAGCACTACTGAATAGTAAAGACAACGGCACCATTTTGGATGAATAAGCACTAATTATTTAATTGGAGCTGAACTTAAACTGCCATATCTTTCCCCTTTTTTATCCAATGTTCACCAAATTTTTAACAAATGAACTTTATATCAATGTTTATCTAATGTCATTAGAGGGCAACAACAGACCATTTGTTACCATGGAAACAGGCCATATTCAAATTTCATTTTAAATCATCTGTCAATGTCAATAAAGATAAACAAGTTTTATTTTCGTTTATGTTGCCTTCGTTTTTATTCCTATACAAATGCATTGAAAACGCCCTCATCGACCGGCTATGCGTTCTACCAAGCTTTGCTTATTTTTACGCTATAATAATACTTATGAAACAAAAAGCATTGACACGAATAAACAAATCTAAGATATAACATTACAGCATAATTGTGAATTTACTGATCTGTAACTAGAAGTGTCTACTCACGTTTCCGTTAACTAAAACAATATGGCCGCCTCCAGCAGGGGGAAAACATCATAACCACTCAACGCATGCGTAGTCCCAAACAATGAGGTCATGCATATTATTAACAAACTCCCCTTTTCTCTAAATAAAAGTTTGTGTGGAAGAGTCCAGTAAAATATTAATACAGGAATAATGTTCAAATAAAATGTTCAACCAAAAACTTTAACACGAAAGTCAACAACACCAAATAACTGTAAGAGTCTATTAATCAACAGCAACAACAATTAAAGTTATAGATGCAAGGCTCCCCTTTCTAGAGTTTCCAATAGCATTTGTGGCGAAGCACCTTTCTTTGTTAGGCAGTCAGCTAGTTGTTTCTGTCCATCTTGCCATATGACTTCTTGAATCTGTTTGTTTTCGATCAATTCTTTGATACTGCTTATTTCCATTCTCAGTCGTTTTTCCTTGACTAGTTTTACTGATTTTAAAGCATCAAACAATGATTTGCAATCAGTTATACATATGATGGGTAATTTGGTACTCTCCATCTCTTCATACAATGTTGCAATATATATAGCATTGTCTATGCCATCTGCCATCGAGAGTGTTTCTCCTGCTAATGTGCTTCTCACTACCCTTCTTATCTTCTTTGAACTCCAACTTATTGGCGAACACATACCATCTTCCCCTACCAGGAAAATGATATGGCCACCCTGACTTCCTCCATCAGGTAAATTTCCCAAGGAGGCATCGCTGAATACCGCTAACTTAAGTTGTTCTCCTATTGGCTGAAATTTCAATGTGATGTTGTCACTTTTTGCTCGCAGTATCAGTTTATTTATCTCTGTAAGATTTCTCACCGTACTCCTCTTCATGTTGCTGGCCAATCTACAGGCATCAAATAATAAATCTGGCCGACTCTGATGTGCCACCCATTGTATTTGACCAAGCTTTGTTCTAAGACTATCTCTTTCATTGTCAGTTAATTCTGATTCTTTCTGACTTGATCGCATTTTGGAGATCTCTATTGACATCAAGCTATTAACATATTCTGCTTGTTGCAGGTAAATATGATTTTCATCTGTTCTAAGTCCTATTCCCAGGTATTGGAAAGCATCAGAATTTTCTGTTCCAATGTTAAATTTGGCCCTAATTATGTCAATAACATCAGTTTCCAACTTGTCTGTACCACTCCATATAA